CCCTCCCTCCCTCCCTCCCTCTCTCGTCCAATTTTTACCCCCTACGCTTCCCCCTCCTTCCTCTCCCTCTCCCTCGCTCACTCTCCTTCAGTGTTCGTGTTCTTTTCGTCAGCGATGGTCTCAACTCCATCGACTCTCTCTCCTCCGCTCTTGCCTCCTTGGCTGGGGTCTGCTCTGTGCGGCGATATACCAGGTTCCTCCTCCTGACCCTACTCCTGATCCCCCCCCCCTGATCTTTCTCCTGATCCTCCCCCTGATCTTCCTCCTGATCTCCCTCCTTATCCTTGTCTTTCCCTCATCCTACTTTTCTTCGTCCTCCTTATCCTCTGCTCTCCATCGTTCTGATTTTTTTCTCTTCACCTCTTCAGGGATTGCGGAGATCATCTCGTCATGCGCTTCTTCGCTTCAAGGTGAAATCGCCTTGCGCTCCCACCTCCTTCTCACCCCTTCAACCTTGCTCCTTCCCTCTCTCACTCGTTTCCGTGCAGGAATGCATTCTCATCCAGTCGGTGGAGGAGGTCGTGGCGGCAGACGTGATGAGAGCAGAGATGTTGATATGGAGGTGAGAAGAGGAGAAGGCCAGCCCCGCACCCCCCCCCCCCCCTCCCTGACCTCAGCGCTCAGGAGCATGCGAGCATGGAGGAGAAGGATTGAGCAGCGTCTCTTCCTCTTCGCCGTCATCGCGAGGGGTCAACTCTCCTACCGCCGTCATCTCCTTCGCTCGAGGTTGTCGGGCTGACGCTGCTGGGGTCGAGGAGTGACGTGGAGGCAGCATGCTCGCATGGACGCGGCGGGTGGAGGAGGAGAGGAGAGTCCATGCCGACATCTGCCTCATCCAGTGCGTCATGGCGAGGTGAGGAACACAGTTTGCCGCCCCCTGCTCACTCCCTCCTGCTGCAGGAACCTCGAGAAGCGATGCATGAAGCTGTGGAGCGTCAAGAAGGACAACATCAAGCTGGTCTGCTTTCCTCCCCTCCTGCCTCGTTCCTCACCCTCCTATGAAGCTCCGCCGCGTCTTCGCTCGATCCGCTGCCATGTGGACGGAGAGGTTCAAGTTCATGTCGGGCGAGACCTCCGTCTGCTTCGCTCTCCTCCACACGGTCCTCCCTCCCTCCCTCCCTCCCTCCCTCACCCCTCCCTCCCTCCCTCCCTCCCTCTCTCCTTCCTCCTTCGTTCTCTCCTCCCTCCTCCGCTCTCACCTCCCTGCCCCGCCGTTGCATCCTTGACTTTCCACAGGTCTGTTCGCAGTGGAGAGCGATTTCTGACCGATCAAAAGAAGTGCAGAAGAAGAAGGTCCATCCCCTCTCTTGGCCTTCCAAGTTCCATGCTCTTCTCTCCTCTGCTCTCCTCTCCTCTCCTCTTTCCTCCCCTCCCCTTCCCTCCCCTCCTCTACTCTGCTCTGCTCTGCTCTGCTCTCCTCCTCTGTCTCCTCTCCTCTCCTCTGCTCTGCTCTCCTCTCCTCTCCTCTCCTCTCTTCTCCTCTCCTCCTCTGTCTCCTCTCCTCTGCTCTCTATTTTCTTTTCTGTTCTTGTTTTTCCTATGCTCTTTCTCTTTCCTCCCTTTCTTCCTCTTCTCTGCTTACTCCATCCCTTCAGATTGCAAAAAGAGCTGCGTTTCTCTTCCATCAGCTGCGTTGCTGGACGAGATACTTCTGGCTATGGAGCCTGAGGACAAAAAGAAACAAGATCTCTTGCCAGGTTCCCACCCCTCTTCCTCCTCTTCCTCCTCTTCCTCCTCTTCCTCCCCTTCCTCCTCTCTCCCATTTTTCTAACCTCCCCTCCTCTCATCTTCCTTCTTGCTTCCCTGCTCTGTTCTCCAATCTCTGGTCTTCCCTCTCTCCCCCTCAGCATGCTGAGTCTCCCAGCAGGCCGTCATAGATCACGAGAACAAGACGATGCGAAGAGCTCTGAGGGGTTGGGGGGAGATCAGCGAGTGCTCGTACAGGTCAAGGTAGCAGGGAGCAAGCTGCTGTCTTCTCCTCCCTCACGAGGTGGTAGGAATGAGCTCGAGCGGCAGCAGGAGCGGAAGGCCGTGAAGAGTTGGAGGACTTACATCCTACTCCAGCAGAGATGGTAGGAGGGAGGAGGCAGGAGAGGAGGAGATCTTGATGGAGCAAACTGAACTCTTGAGAATGTCGCTGATGTTTGTGCCCTGCAGGCAAGTTGTACGGGCAGAATATCTGCGAGCATGGAATGATCTCGCCTTTGAGGTCCTACCGCTACCACCATCTCCTTCTCTTCCTCCTCTCCTTTCCCTTCCTCCCCCTCTCCATTTCTCATCACATCCTCCTCTTGTATCTTCACGTTACAACCACTCCTTCCTACCCTCGTGCTGCCTCCCTCGGGACCAGCTCCTGACTGTCGGGCTGCAGAATCGAGTCCAGTTCCCTCGCTCACACCAGCGTGAACGAGTCGTCCGAAACGTAAGACTCCCCCCCACTTCCTGCTTCTGCCCTCCTCCCTCATCTCTCCGCCTCCTTCCTCCCCGTGTCTCATTTCCTGTCATTTCCCTCCTTCCCTCCTCCCCCTGCTCCTCTAAACCCTCCCTCTCCCTGTCTCCTTTTCTCATCCTTACTCCAACCCGCTCCTCCTCTCCTCTCCTCTCCTCTCCTCCTCGTTCCTCCTCTATCCCCTCCCGAATCTCCTTCCTCGACAGTCGCCCCTTCTCTTACCCTCCCGGCTCGTCAGGCTTTCATCGGTTGGTCTTCCTTCCAGGAGCAGCTGATCTCAAGGTAGGAGGAGGAGGCGGACTATCACGCTCCTCTCAAGCAACAAGTCGAGCAGAGAGGACGAGAAGAGCGTTGGGGTTGCATGGGAGGAGAGAGTGATAGGAAGAGAGACAGAGTGAGAGGAGGAGGGGGTGGGAGGTAGAACAGTGGAAGGAGGGAGGGAGGGGGGAGATAGAACGGAGGAAGGGGAGGGAGAGGGAAGAGGAGAGGAGGAGAAAATTTCAAATTTGCAGGAGAACTTGACAAAGAAGATGCAGGAGGCGAGCACTGGCGGAGCCTTCAATCAATGGAAGGACACCATCAGAAAACAGAACCTGCCTCCTCCTCCTCCTCCTCCACGTCCTCCGGGCTCGCTCGCGCCCTGTTACGGGCCCTCGCTCCCCCGCCGCCGCCTCGGGCCTCGCTTCCCCCCTGGGGTTGCTGTAACGTCCCTCAGACAGCCGTGCTCGTGCAGAGCACGAGCGCAATGTGCGTTCAAAGTCTCGATGATTCACTGAGCCCTGCAATTCACACTACGTATCGCATTTCGCTGCGTTCTTCATCGTTTGCGAGAACCAGATATCCATTGTTAAGAGTTGTCTCTTGCTTTTCTCTCTCGTCGGCGGCT